CTTGTTTTTTACCGAACTTAAATTTTTAAAAAATAGGTATATTTTCAAAATTCTATTATTTCCGAAATTTTGAAATTTTTGTAAAATATGTCCATTTTTTATTTCATATTTAAATATTCACAAAATTAGGTATTTTTTCGATATTCTTGAATTATGATTTCTTAAAAATTTTGATTTATGATTTCTTAAAAAAAATGATTTTTAACAAATTTGAATTCTTAAAGAAGTTAGGTAATTTTTCGAAATTCTATTATTTCCGAAATTTTGAAATTTTTGTAAAATATGGTATTTTTTAGGTATTTTTGCGAAATTAGTAATAAAATTTCCATTAAAAAAAAAAATTAACAAATTTGAATTTTGTAAAAAATTGGTTTTTTTCAAAATTCTATTATTTGAAAAAATTTTAAAATTTTTGTAAAATTTGTCCATTTTTATTTCATATTTAACTAACTAGGTATATTGTCGAGATTCTTGAATAAAATTATGATTTCTTAAAAAATTTGATTTTTACAAAATTTTAATATTTACAAAATTATTTATTTTTCGAAATTCGATTATTTTCAAAATTTTGATATAAAAAATTAGGTATTTTTTCGAAATATGATTTCTTAAAAAATAAAATTTTTATAAAATTTAAATATTTCCAAAATTAATTATTTTTCAAAATTTGATTATTTTTCAAAATTTTGTATTTTTTTTTGTAAAATATTGAATTTTTTGTAAAATTTCGAAAATTTCGTAAACTTTTTCCATTTTTATTTCATATACCATCTAATATCTTTTTCCCCGTTCCTCTCAATCTTTTATCTCCATTTTGATTTATTTTCAAGCGACCTCTTTTAATAGCTAATGTGTCGCACTTGTCTATCTATCACTCTATATCATCAAACATTTTAGGTTAAATAAATACAATAAAATGCTGGCGGCATCTTTGAGAATCACAACAACAAAAACAACAAAAATGTGTGATATCAGCATCATATTTGTGTCATTATGGCTATAAAGGTGATGGTATGGATTTAATGTTTATTTAAAACACATTACTATTTAACTAATTTCGAAAAAAATTACAGAAATCTGGAACAATGTTGAAAAGTAGTAATTTTTATTATTATTAAATAATTTAAATATCATAAAAGTAAAAATTCAGAGCAATACGCTCTTTAATCCTCTAAATGCCGAACAATAAAAAGTTAAGCCACAGAATTATTTAAACATATTTCAGTTACTTTACAATTCATATTATATTCCTAACTCAATCTCTCTCTCTCTACAAAAAAAAAAAATATATATATAAAAATAAATATGAACTGAATTGAGAATTATTTGCTCACTATCAATATGACAATACACACTTCACCAAATCATTAAATCTTGATAATAAAATGTTTCAACCAACCCAAAATGTGAAACATTGTAAGTTATGGAAATGTTTTTTAAAGTGAATGAGAATTATTTGCACACTATATACATAATAATACACACTTTAAAAACACATATATGCTATAAAATAGATTTCCTGTTAAACCGACTACCCCCATTTGCGAAATCCCACGAAAAAATTTGTCTTTAATCTACCGGACAAAATTGAATTCCAATATTTTTAACGTTAATGAGAATTATTTGCTCACTATCAATATAACACACTTTTAAGTTATTTATGTTATAATATTGATTTTCTGTTACCACCACCTTTGCCAAATTCCATACAAAGTTGCCTTCAATCTATCAGAATTGGAATTTACTTCAGTCAGAAGTAAATCCCAACTAATTAAAAAGTTGTAAATGGATTTGGAGCACCCACACTCACGTCTAATGAAAACAAAAACACAAAACATAAATATTTCAAATTGAAAGGTAGAGGGCGGCCTTTCACAAAAAAAAGATCGAGCAAAAATCATAATCCTCTCATTTTGAAAGTTTTTTTTGTTTTTAACAAGATGTTGTTTTTATTTTTCTTGATTTTTTGTTTTGTTTCTCCGTTTACTTCCTCATACTGCAGTTGTCTGTCGTGGCAAGAAAATCCGCCAAACCAAAAGCAAAATGTTACCACATAGCACACGTTAGAGCAGAAAGCACAGGTAAATATTTTTTTGGGAAGGAGACACGAATCTTTTTTTAATTTTCTTATTTTAGTTTTTTTCGTTTTTTAGTTGCTTGGCTGCACGCCCACCCAACATTGCCACACTTCAAAAACGAGCGATTCTTAATCCATGTTGTCCAATATTGTCTAAGCACTATTTTTTTGGATTTAATTTACACGCACACACACATATGTTGAAGGAGAATACTTATTAAACACACATATTTCAGCACTAATAAAAATTCACAATTATTGTTGGGGAATTTTTAAATCATTTTTTGTCGTTTATTTATTTATTTTAATTTTTTTTTATTTTTTCATGTATTTATAAATTTATTTATTTCTTCATTAATTTATTTTATTATTCACATATTTATTTTTTTCAATAGACAAGTATTCATTTATTTATTTTGTAAAATATTATGTTTTATTATGTTTGTATGGTTTCAAAAATATAAAAGTTCTTTCCAAATTGAAAAGTTGTTGGTATTATTGAGATAATTATTATTATTTATACAAGTATTATTTTTACTCATATTATTATTTAATTTTTTTTTGCCTTTTTTATTTTATTTTGGCAGCATATTTGAAAAAAAACTTTCTTTTGAGGGAAATAATTATAAAGCTTTTTAAATATTTAAGAATTTATTAAAAAATATATTTTTTTCGAAGCTTATAAAAATTATTGTATTATTACTCTCAGTATTATTATTATATTATTTTAATTAATTTTTTGGGGTTGAGTTGTGATGCATTGTTGGTGTCTACTCTTGCAAATAGTTTATTTCTTATTGGAGTGAAAATCTATTGTTGCGGATATTCAAAAAAAAAAAAAACTCTATTGAAAACTGCTGAATATTATTTAGAAAAAAACTCTTTCTTACTTGTTCAATTATTTTATTTTGACGACTGTTCAGGAAGAGAGTTTATTTTCTCGTGATGTAAAAAAATATAACAAATTTTGAATATTTTTAAACTTTATCAACAACGTTTATATTTTTTAGAAGTTGATGAAATTATAAAAAATTAAAAACTACGGATTATATTAAATTGTTCGACATAAATGTTTAGTTGTTTCTAATTTTTTATAGAGTAGAGAATATTTTTCCGGTATTTATATAATTACACTCCATTAAAAAATGAAAAAATAGATGTTATTGTTTATTTATTTTTTTTTTTATTTATTTAATTATTTTTTTGGAAATTGTTTTTTATCTATTTCAATTTGGTGGCTTTTCTTGAAGAGAGATTTTACTCTTGTGAATATATAAAACATTTCAACATTTTTTTTTTTTTTGAAATATATATTTTTTAGATGTCTAAAAAACGTCCAAACGTATATTATTCTTAAAAATATAAGACTTCTGAATATATTCAACATTTCAGCAAGTTTTTGAAATATATTTCTAAAAGCCCAAAAAACTTGTAGTTTTTTTTTTTTTTTTTTTGAAAACATAAGACTTGTTTTTAAGAAATATTGAGATTTTCTTAAATAATTTCTTAAATTACACTATGTGCTTGATTGGGCCAAAAAATTGTAATCTCACGAAATATTGGTCCTAGACCTAAGATGTTATGTTATATCTCGGCGAGCTAAATCGATTTAGAGATTTAACGTGGCCTTTCGTCCATCTGTCCATGTTAATTTATAATCACGTAACAGGTCGGAATTATGGCCCCATTTTTCACGACATTTTCCAGGAAATTGGGCCTATGGTCAAAATAGAGGCCTTTTGTTTATGAAGATGATGGAAAAATATTTAAGGGTTAGTATGAACCAAAAACGGAGTGTTACTGATTTTTTTAGTTGCTCTCCAGGTCACAATCAAAGACCAATCGACAGGTAATTTCGCTGCGGGTCAGAGTTCAGAACAGGGCAATTTTGATGGGCAACGGGTAATATGTAGCGGGTAAATTGGACCACAATTTTCGGGTCCATTTTCTTTTTGAATACATATCAGTACGACAGAGGTCCTAAATGTTACTGTTCAAAAACCCAAGGTAATATTTTTGTAAGACATTATTATTATTTTATTTTTGGTGACTTTTCTAGGAGAGTTTCTAGGAGGTGTTTTCTAATCGAGGAGAAAATGTTTGTACATATATTTTAAAGTTTTTTTTTTATTTTACATAAATAAATATGTTTTTTGAAAAAAGGAAATAATTCTCCCTGAGATTTTTTCGGCGATCATTTTATTAAATTTTAAATTGGGTAAAATCATAAGAAATTCTATAAAATGAAAATTAGCCGATTTTTTTTGGGGATTTTTGAAAATATATTTTTAGGAGTATTTTATTTTGTATTTTTTCACTAACATTTTTATTGGTGGCATTTTTTGAAGATAATTTTTTTCTCATATAGGTTTGGGAGTTATAAAAGTTCTTTAAAACGTTAGTATTTTGAGTTTTTTTATTTTAGTTTGGGAACCTGTATTTATTTATTTTTATTTGTTTATTTTTGCTTCGAGGTTTCATTTTTTAGAAAGTTTTTATTAATTGGTGGAATTTTGGAATATGGTTTTTTCTCGTATAGGTTTCGGTATTTATGAAAGTTGTTTAAAAAGTTAATAATTATTTTTTTATTTTTAATTAAATGTGGTTAATTTTTTTTTGTTAATTAATTTATTTATTTATTTGCTTTGAGTGTTGATTTCATTTTTGGTGGCTTTTCTTGCAGACAGTTTCATTTCCCACAAAAATTAAATATTTTTTTAAAACTAATTTTTGAAATTTAAAATTGATAATTTTTCAGAAATTGTTGGAGATTATTTTTTTTTTTTTCAAAAAAATAAATAATTTTGCTAAATATTTTTATTAATGCCCTTTGTTTTTAAAATTAGTATCTTTTCTTTAATATCACTTAAAAAATATTTTAAAACATCATATTAAATCAGATAATTATAATTTCCAAACTTACCGTTAAATAAAATTTTCTTGATTTGTTGAGGGAGGAGTGATGGTGGTGGGGAGACAGGCTCTAAGTATAACACTCAAAAATAGTAGCAGGCGTAGACTATAGTTGCAAATGATAATTGAAGGTAAATCCCAATAGATGTATGTATAATTTTCTCTGGTATTTGTTTTTGTTGTTGTTGTTTTTTTTTTTCTTAATTTTTGTTGAAAAATATTTCTTTCGTTAATATTTTTTGTTTTGTTTAAATTTTGTTTTGAATCACAGGACAAATTATTGTAATTATTGAGAGATGAAATTCGATTTGGTTACACTACTTATAGATTTTTTTTATTTTTTTTTTTTTAATTATTTTTAAATATAGACATTTTTTATTTTTTTACAATATTGAATAATTTACAAAACTTTTTTGATGTGTTTTTTTTTTTGTTTTTTTTTTAAAGAATATATTTGTTGTTGATTTTTTTTCTTTCAAAAATTGCTGAATAAGATTTTTTTTTATTTCTTAAAAAATCCAATTGTTTCGGGTTACTTGGTTTTTTAAATGCATTTGTGTCAGCTTTTTAATAATTTTTATTTTATGTTTGTTATTTTAGAGCTTTGATATGTCACCTCAATCTTTAAAATATTTTTTGAATTTTTTTTTCCAATTTCCTGATGTGATTTTTGGAAATTCCTTTTATTTCTATTGGTAATCCTTTATCGGGGTTTCGATGGCACATAAAAATCCATTTGTTGCCATATTTCCTGTCATTTTATCCATTTTGGGTTGACTTTTCGATTATTGGGAAATCGCTGCATTTTCTTTTTATTTTAATAAGAAAAACCTGTTTTCCGTAGGTTTTTTTATTTTTCAATTTCCGTTACTTTTGGGAAATGTTCACTTTTGTTTTGAATTTCGCACAATTTTTCTTCACATTTCGTTTTGTGTAGTTTTCAATTTTTGCACTAACGTTTTTCCTTTTTTCTATTTTTCGCAACGTAAAATCAACGAAAAAATAATTAAAACAAATAATTTTTTGAAATGTAAACCTTCTTCGACTTCCGATAGGTTTACTTTTTTTGGATGATTAAATTTTTTCGTTGCTTAAATTCTTATTCTTCTTTTGTTATTGTTGTCACTCTCATCGAAACACACAAACGGTAGGTAGTTTAGGTTGGTAGGTGTACAACAAAATATTACATGCATGCACACATTAGCGCAACAGCACACACTACTACTCTTCTAGTACGCGTCAAATGAAATGAAACGCGCGCGCTATCGTCGGAATGAATGTTGTTGATACGACAAACGTTACATGGAGACTAACTTGCCTTGAGTTCTTGTAACTGTTAGCGAGTCTTGTAATGAAATATAAAACAAAAACGAAAAGAATACCGACAACGAGAGGAGAACGAATGGTGGCGGGCACACACACAGAAACCGACATGGCCAAACAGTTCGGCTGGTTGGAGATTACACTGGCAGGCAGGCAAGCAAGCAAGCAAGGCAACGGTTTGTGGCTCGTGTGCTGTGTGCTCCATCAAAGGAATTGAAAAACGACCCTCACACATCGGGGTTGTAAACTCAACTCTCCAATGAAACAATTCTCTGCTCTCATTCTCTCTCTCTTCCATCAATTCTCTGTAGAAATTGTATCACCACGGCTGTTTTATTTTTGTGGGGGGTTTCCTACCGTTATTTAGTTCAAAGTAAATCATTGAGAATTTAGCTCCACTCTCTTTCTCTGCCTCTCAACAAATTATGCTTTCATTTTCGTTTTTAGCTCTCTTGCTCTCGGCATAACACATAACACAGAGAGCCACATGAAAACACCTCCTTGCATTTTAGTGTTGTTGTAGCTGTGTGTTTCCTATGGTAATTGGAGTTTTACATTTGTTGACTTACGGTAGTTTTATTGCTGCCACCGTTATTCATCCACGGTGTTGTTGTTGTTGCTGTTGCTCATAGTGTATTTACTTCGTTTCGTTGTTAAAACAGCACCCACTCCCTTACACGTACACGCACACACTAACATTTCAAGAGGAGGTTTTCCTTTGCTTCGTGTAATTTTGTTCGCCTTTATTTTATTAGAGAAAAATATTGTTCGCCCCATTTATGTCCTGTGCCGGGGATTTCTTTGTATTCCTCACGTGCGAGCAACAATTTGTTCAATTTTGCTCTACAACAACATTTTTGACTGTTACTTCTTTGGTTGTTTTTGATTTTTGTTTTAATGTGTATAGGTTTTTTATGATTGTCATTTTTGTAAAATATTTTCAACAAATTAGGATAGCCCTTAAATTAAAAAAAAAAGAAAACTGGCTATCGAAGGCAGCCGAAATATTGGAAAATAAAAATCAAAATTATAAAACTAAAACACTGATGTTTCAATTGACCTCAAACCAAAGTAAAGTTATTAAGAAAAAATGCATTTCTGAAGAAATTGCTGCCCGGTTTGGCCCTTTGCAATATAAAATCCCACGATGTAGTTTCGAAGGTTTCTTGAAAAAATATTTCAATCATATTTTCAAAAATTCCAAGGATGAGGGTTTAGTCTTTGAAGAATATTCATAATAATATTAAACCCCACCGCTAGTGATCTGTTAGATCTCAAAAACATTCATTCTAAGCCTGTTGGGCATTAAATTGAAAATCCGGAGGTCTTTTAGACCTTCGAAAATCTTAAAAATCCACGCGTTTGAGACCGGAAAATCATGGCAAATAATTAAAAAAAAAAACTTAAAAGGTCCAGTTTAAAAAATACATAATTATTTAAAATATAAAAACAAGATATAGTCGACCGATGTATTCTATTTTCATACTTCATCTAATACAGATAAAAATATTGGAAAGAAAATCGAATCTTTATAACCAATTTTATGAGAAATCATAAATACCATATTCATCTCAGGTTTCTGATTGAGATAAATATTTAGATATAGCACGTTGTCAAGAATCGCAGATCAAAGTATTGAAAATTGTGACCCTTTGTGTGGATTTTTCAGAATTTTAAGCTCTGTGTGGGGGAGGTACCAGAAGTAATGACCCGATCTCTATAATCTTTAAAAAAGATCTTGCGTTTATGGAAATATTGAGATGTGCCAAATCTGAATGGAATTGGGTATTAATTTCGCGTTTTATGAGCTTCACGGATACTCAAAATTATTATTTTGACCCTTTGAGGGGGAGGTACCAGAAGGGGTGGACCGATGTAATTCAATTTTACACCAGACCTTGGGTTAATAAAAATATTGTGCTGTGTTTAATTTGACGAAAACAGGATGCTTATTTCGGATTTTATGATCGTTTTGGTTATTCAAAACTTTGACCCTTTGTGTGGGAGGTACCAGAAGGTATGGTCCAATCACCACCATCTTTATAACAGATCTTGTGTTAATGGAAATATTGAGATGTGCCAAATCTGAATGGAATTGGATGTTAATTTCGCGGTTTTTTGAGCTTCATGAATATCCAAAATTTTGACCATTTGTGGAAGAGGTACCAAAAGGAGTGGACCGATATATTCCATCTTCACACCAGACCTTGGGTCAATGAAAATTTTGTGATGTGTGTAATTAAAAGATAATCGGATACTTACAACACATTTTGACCCCTTCGTGGGGGGAGGTACCAGAAGCAGGGGGCTCATGTACTCCATATTCAAAACATATTTTGTGTTGGCAAAAATATTAGGTCGTGCGAAATTTTGAAGACAATCGGATGATTATTTTCCATTTTATAAGAGTTATAATTATTCGGAATTTTGATCCTTTTGTGTGGGAGGTACCAGAGAGAGTGAACCAAAATATCCCGTCTTAACAGTCGAACTTGTGTTGGTAGAAATATTGAGATTTACCAAGATTGGTTTGCTGATTTCGTAATTTATGAGCGTTTTTATTTTTCAAGAATTTGACCCAGATGGAGGGGGCTCATATATTCTATATTCACACCAGATCTTAGGTTGTTAGAAATTTTTGGATGTGTAAAATTTGAAGATAATCAAACGGTTGTTTCACATTTTATAAGAGATGTAATTATTCCAAATTTTGACCCTTTGTGTGGAAGGTACCAGAGGGGGTGGGGCAGTGTTGTACATTTTCTTCTCTGGCCTAGTACTAATAAAATTTTTAGGATTTGCAAAGTTTTCACAAAATTCAATGATGCATTCTTGTTCTTTGAGGTAAATTATTTTTTTGAAAATTTCAAAGTTTTGTGGTGGAGGCATCAGAAGGAGTGGACCGATGTTACCCATCACCGAACTCGATCTAAGTTTGATAATAGTATTACGACGTACCAAGTTTGGTCCAAATCGGATACTCCCTTTGAGATTTGTCGCGTGCACCAGCTAGTCAGATAGACAGACAGACAGACAGACAGAAAGACGGACGGACATCGCTAAATCGACTCAAAATGTCCTGAAACGGATTTAGCCGAAAGAGACCTAGGGTTTAAAATCGTTTTTTCGATTAGGCACGTTTTGGGCCGTACCAACTGATATATACCCTCTGTAGCCATATGGGGGTAAAAAAATTAGTCTAATTTCTGTGAATAATTCGTTAGCAATTTTTAAGTCCTTAAAAAATGGAGATATCTATGTTTAAAAAATACACTGTTTTAAATTTGTATGGTACCTGAAAAATAGTTCTAAAATTTCGAATTTTCGGTACGAAATGTTGCTTCAAAAAAACATTCTTAAAAATCCACGAATATAGTTTTGGAAACTCGTCGAAACAGGTTTTCCAGAATTGGCTGTGCTATGGATGACCATAAAAATGGCTCTAGAGACAAGAAAAATGGTGAATGGAGAAATATTCAACACAAATCCTAGTCCGAGATAACTGTCCTAAAAAATCCACTTCTTTGAAATACAAAATTCTTATAAAAATCCACACCTTAAAAAAAATCCAACAAACTCATGTCCACGTTAAAAATTTAACGCAAATTTCTTTAAAAACGAACCTCCTTTAAAAAATGTCTCAAAAAGTCTATTTTTAAAAATCTACGTCCTTGGAAAGAAATTTTTAAAAAATCTACAACCTTGTGAAATTTTTTTTTTAAACTATCAAAGTCCTTCAGAACAAAAATTTTAATAATTTTTCTTAACATATACATGCCTTCGAGTTTTTTTTTTTAATTGAGGTCATTAAAATTTTTTCTTAAAAGATAAACGTCCTTGTGTCCTTCCAACATTCGTGGAATTTTTTTTTTGAAAATCCATGTCTTTGAAAACATTTCCTAAGATCCTTGACAAAAAATTCTTAAATATCCAAATTTTTGTTACTTTTTTTAATGCCCACAACTCAGATTGACGACTTCCTTCCGAAATATCCAAGGGGCGGTAGATTCATGTCATAAAAGACCCAAATCTTTGAGAGTTTTTAAGCCCTAGTCC